AAGAGTCAGAAGCTCCTGGGGCATAAACTGAGTGACAAGGAATAAAGTGGATGTCAGAAGATGACAAAGGAGTGTGGACTGGAGGCTGTGGCAACCCTCACAGGTCATCAGAGAGATCTGTGTTTCTACGTGGCTGATGTTGTGGCTGTGTGGGATAAACTGGGAGGTTGGAATGTGGTTGAAAGATGGTGGGTGTGATCCACCTGGCACACCAAAGAGCTTGTCTAAGACAGGAGGATCCTTAGGATGCAGACGAGGCCACCATAATGAGGGTGGACAGGGAGAGGGAGAGTAGGGGAGAGAAGGATGTAGCCTGGTGATCCCATAGGCAGACAGGGCTTCCTGTGTTTCTCAGGATTGTGCAACTGAGAAACTGGGTGGTCATAGCCGACAGAGACACCAGGCTTTCTTCCCAGTCTGGGACACACTGCATAGTGACCTCCTTCCCACCAGGGGGCATTTGCAGAGGCAGCTGGTAGAAAAGAAAGGACAGGGGCTGGGGAACTAAATGAACTGGGCCAATGAGTACGGGCCCTGCTCATACTTATGTGGGCTGAGCTGCTTACTCCTGCTAAATGTTCTCTTCTGCAAATCTAGAGTAATATTCACTTCTACAGTGCTGTTAGAGTTAAAGAACATAATGTAAATAAAATATTTAACTGCGCTTGGCATAGAAATGAGTTCAAACTTATGGTCCTTTGAGCCAATTCCTCTCTCTTTAAAACAAGATCTTAGTCAATATTTGCCAAATAAAGGACTTATTGAAGAGATAAATGGGTAGGCAGATGGATGAGTGGGTGGATGGATGGGTGGGTGGATGAGTAGATGAGAGATTGTATGGGTAGAAGGATGGATGATAGGATAATTGGTTGATTTATGGGATTGTCTCTCTAAAGCTCTTCCCAATGCAGGGAATATCCTAAGGTCTCCTCTACTCCTTTCACATCTGGGATTGGATGGACTTAACATGGGAAAAGGCAGGCTGCCCTGGGTTAGTCTGAGCAAATAGATTTAGGGTGAGGTGGGACAGACTATGCAGGCAGGGAGGGACACATTCACATGTACTCACAGCAGGTAGAAAGCCAGGCTTTTGAACTGCCCCTGGAAGAAGGTCTCAGTGCCCACGCTGATCAACACTAAGAGGGGAAGAAGAGAGGGGAGAATGGCTCAGGTGCTCCAGCCATAGCACTTCTCTGAGGAGGGCTTCTTGGCCATGGAGTGAGCCTTCTACCTGGGGATGGAGGCACAAGGTGTGTGGCACAAGGATTGGTGGCTGGGAAGATATAAGAAAGCAGAGGCCTTCTGAATCGGTCTCTAAAAACCAGAGTAGTTACAGGCAGAACGCTTGAGGTCTTTTTGTACATTCTCTCCAGAGCACCGACTCCATCCTTCTCTGCCTGCATTAGTCATGCCACTACACCTACACCTGAGTGCCCCCAAAGACAGCCCATGCTGACAGGCCACCAAATGCTCTGCTTCACAGTTGTCTATGTGTCTTGGCCTCTAGGGCTTTCACCACCCTTCAGGCCCACACCTATGTGTGCTGTGTGTCTGGGCTTTGGTGCTTGGCCATGGGTTTGTTCTTGCTTGTTCTTGCTGTTTCCATGACCTCTTTTCCACTTGCTGATTTGGCAGCAGCATCACTCACCTTTGGCTCGTTGCTTTTGACCCAGTGCTGATTAAGCCCGTGGGGTTTTCCTCTGACATGGGATGCTGCTCAACCTCATCTCTCCACCTGCCCTTTCTTGGCAGTTGATGCTCAAATGCTTGTGCTCAAACACTTGACTTTCCATTTGTCCAGGGTAAATTTCGTCTTGGACCTACCTTTCCAGACTTGCTGGCTCCCTGTCATCTCCTCACAGGGACGTCCTTGCTCTCACAGTTTTACTCAACCAGCTGTGGCTCTGACCCCACCCACTCATGGTTAGAAACATTCCACAGACAGCACTTAGATGTTCCAGGAGACCTTTCTCTAGGACCATGTTGGCCCAGTAATCAGACTTATTTCTGGCCCTAATTGATCGCACCTCAAGTATCCTGCATTTCTCTTTTTGGGCTCAGATGACACACTCTGGTATTTGCCATTGTGGCTTCACTTTGTATTCTCAGAAAGTCAAAAATGTCAGGCTGGACTGTTGAATTTGGCTATGAGTGGTCCTTCATCTCTGCTACTCATGGGCTGTTTCCCTGGGCCTGATGCCTCTCTTCTCTGACAGAGATACTATATAAGCTTCTAGCTCTGGATGACCTGAGCCCTTTGTCCACTGCAGAAATGCTGCATCCTGAAACACAGTGTGGAACCCCTCACTTCTGAGGGGATTGCGAAAGTGCTGCAGGGTGAAGGAGACAGAGCTCTTTGATTCTTAGTGATGGAGGCTTTCAGCTCTCCCCTGTGCTTGAGAGCAGTGGAGGACACTGTGTCTCTGTCCTCTGTAGGTACCAACTGCTCGCTGGTTCATCCCAAGTCAGGGGCCAGGGATGCAAGTCAGCCACACACTCCTCCTCAGTGTCAGTATAACCTGTAGAGCACTTAATAGTTTACACACAATGGTCACACACATCCTGGCTCCTCATGGCAGCCCTGTGACACAGGAGTTCTATCCTCCACGTTTTACAGGGAGGAAAATAAGGCTCAGTGACTTGGTGTTGTTCTTATCAGAACACACATATGCCAGTATGTAAAAGACCTACAGATCAAACTTGAGAATTCTGGCTCCAGGTGGTGGGCAGTTTCTTGGTTTTCAGTGTCTACTAGTGTATGTCTATGTTGTGTGGTGGTGTGTGTGTATGTGTGTGTGAGTGTGTGTTGTAGGCAACTGCTCATTTAATTTTCAGTATGTATCCTGTCCTGTTCTCAACACTTAACTTTTATTAACTTATTTAAATATCACAATGTTCCTATGTGAAAGTACTATGCTATCCTCATTTTACAGAGGAGGAAACTGAGGTACAAAGAGTGTAAGCAAAACAAATAAACCAACCAACTTTGGATACCTAGGTCAGATCCTGCATTTCAGTCTCACATTTGCTGGTTAATAGCTGAATCACTTAATCTCTCTGAGCCTCAGCTTCCTCATTGTCAATAAGCTAATCGACACCAAGAACATCACAGTTGCTCAATGAAATTGCGTGGTAATTTTTGGCAGGGGCTTTATTCACAGTCTTTTATCATAGTCTTTGTAGATTTGCATGGGCTTGTGGTGGATGACCAGCAGGTGGCAGGAAAGGTTCTTGAGAACTCGGCTCCTTTCCCTGACTTGTACTCACGTGGCGTGTGGAAAGCTATTAAGGAACCTTTTGACTGATACAAAGGGTCAATAGTTAAAAGAGAATTGGAGGAACAAGAGAATTGGAGGAACACTCTAGAGCCAGGGCTGGTTTGCAGTTAAAAGAAAATCAAAATAACAACAGAGAAATGAAATAGCTAGGTTGGAATTCCAGTTCTGTGTGTTATGATCTTGATAATATGGGTAAGTACTTAACCCATCTGAGTTGGGGTTTTCATCTGTGGAACAGGGAAAATAAGTTATACCTCACAGAGTTATTGCTTGGATTGGAGAAAAGTGACCAGTCTGAAACACAGGTTTTTGTAATTGTGAGTGTCAGGTGGCCAGTACACATGAGCTCCTTTCTTACTCTAACTCAGGCCCTGGCAGCTTTCTCAAGCTCCAGCTAGCTCATTTTGCATGAAAGGAAATGGTGTCACCACCCAAAAGCTCTCAAACAACTGCAGCCATGCTAGAAACTGCAAGCCCAGGGACAGAGGGGTGCCCTTTGGCTAGAAGAGGAGGGAAGGTCAATGGAGGCTGGGCATGGGTCCTTAGATGAGGAAATCCCTTAAGGGGATCCAGTGGGATTCTCATGGGAGCCCTAAGACCCTTTGGCACTGGGGCCAAGGGTAACCTGATTTCAGCTTGATCTTCCCAGTTCTGGGGCTCATGTTCTCAGAGGCAGACCATGTGATGTTGCAACAACGCAGACCACCATGAAATCCTTTCTTCTGTCCCCTGCATCTGTCTGCCTTTAGCCTCGACCCATGATCCTCCCTTTGTCCTGGAGCTATCTGGCCATACTCCTTGGTGTCTCCTGGCAGCTCTTCCTAGAATGTGCTTTCATCTTGTCTTCTGTGGCTTCCCATAGGGGTGATTTGGGGTCAAGCCCAACAAGTGGGCTTGAGTCAGGCATCAGGCTCCACTCTGGGGTTTGCTTGGTTTAGGGGGAGAGATGTGATATGGACTGAGAAAAATATAGTGACTCAGGCTGTAAGAGAGGTTCACCTAAGTGCTCTGGGGGCCAGAGGGAGAAGGGCCATTCCTTGGGATTATCAGGAAAGATTTTATAAAGATTGAAGCAAAGTCGACTGGGAAAGCAGGCAGAAAATGCATGTGCAACTGGAGGGGCAAAACACTGCAGAAAGACCCTCCTCCTTGCCATCATAACAGCAAGTTATTTCTTTTGGATCAGGGGCATATGGAGGGAGCAATGGGCAGTAACTGTGGACTGGGGCCAGAACTATAGGTCTTTAAACACCAGACTCCACAGGTTGGGCAGGGGAGCTTTGAATGTTTTGAGGCAGCTGAGTGACATATTCAAATTGACACTTCAGAAAGCTTCCTGACCTCAGGCAGAAGGGATAGGAGGCTTTGGTGATATTTGGTTAAGATTGCCTGGCAGACACAAGGTGGTGGCACAAGTACAGGACTCTGCTCAGAGTGCTCCTGGCCTCCCCCTCTTCCAGTTTCTTTGTTGGTTCGGCTTGAAGCAAAGTTCTGATTGGGGGCTTCTGATGGTGTGCCCAGGTGGCACTGTTTACCTCTTTGCAGTGCAGGGTGCCCAGGAGAGGGGAGAGTTGCTCTTTCTGGGGGCCCAGACAAAGAGGCTTCTGAGGCACAAAGGAGAAGGGCATGCCCTGCTATCATATGGTCTTTCACCATTTTCTGGTTAGTGGAAGCAGAGGTGTGAGATGGTCACAGGTGACCAGAGGCATTTGGGTTTGGAAGCTCCCTGGGTGTGCTAGCTCAGCTGCCTCTCCAGAGGTCCCACCACATGCCATACATTGGAGTAGCTTGACTGGAATCTCTGCCTTTACAGGGCTCTAGTTCAGTATTAGATGGGTGGGCCTTCATCAGCAACTCACCCCAACAAATGACACTGAGGTCTTTGCCCAGAGGTCAGCATGGTCAGAGGAGCTGATAATTTGACATGGACACAGGGAGACAAATGCCATACATGTCCCCAGAATCAGGATTTCATTATAACAAATTCTCTAGGGTCAAGAAAGACTTGTCCCCAAAACACTCTGAATCTTGGCTGTGTTATTCTCCAAGCTGCAAGTGGGAAAGGTGCTGGCAGATAAGTGCTATACTGCTTTTACACTGCTGATAAGTGGCCTATCATTCTATCCCTTCTCATTATCTGTCCCTTGGAATCTCATTACCCCTTGTCCCAGCCCAACAGAACCACATGACAAGCTCACCCTAGCACAGTCATCTGCACCCCTCTATCTCATGTCCCTGCACAGTCCCCAGGGAGGCTTCTTGCATGGCTCAGGTTAGAGCCAGGTCTTCCTCTTCAAGAATTTGTGGACAAACCTGGCCTCCTCATCATGTCCCCTTCCCTCTAGTCTTTGTCCCTCCTCTCTGGGCTGGGACTGACCCTCTCACAGTATTTTCTTCACAAGGTTCTCTTCTGAGTTGCCTCCTTGAACTATGTTCTAGTTCAGGCTTAGCAGGATCGGAGATTCTGGACCAAGAGGCTGTGGTGTAGATCTGGGCAGGGCAGCTACCTTCTGAGCATCTTCTGGGCATCCTGGAACTCTGGTCCCATAGTGTGGGTGAACTAAAGGTAGGGGGGTGCTGTGCTGTATCAGAGAAAATGTGAGACTTGATCAGAAAGTATAATGTGGCATTTAGTAACCTCCAATAACTCTCACAAACCTGTTTGGGGACAATTTTCCAAAGGTGAGAGAGTCCACTCATTCTCTACTAGAGCCATAGACTCAAGCTGACTAGTGAATACATCAATTTTGTTTGGCCTTATAGAAGTCCTTGTGGTAAATTGCAGTGATACCCCCAAACCTTCACCCCTTTTGGTATCCATACACTTTATGTGACTTCATAGTGAAGCCTGTTTCCCC